ATTTAAATACCTTAACTAGGAGGGGGTAATATATTCGTATATTATAAGTAATAACTAATATAACTTTTATTGTTATGAAACAGTTTATACTTAAATAGTTTTCCTGCAGGTGTGACTGCAGTACATAGTTTATACATAACCATATTATTCCATTTACAGATGTGATTCATGTACAAGGAATATCATTATACGCAATGCTCTAAGTGTTACTATTTTGCTGACGAACATGAAAGATTACGTGATATGCACACAATGCAACATCATTCAGAATATAGTGATTATAGGAACAATGATTATTGTCAGACAACATGTTTTATAAGATTGTGAACAATTTCTTATTAGCATTTTCATAAATATAAAACATTTCTGATGTCATGTAAATAATCATTTAAATATACTTTTTATATCAAGGTCAAATGCAACAATTATTAATTATTTTAAAGTATTTATCATTCAAAATATGTCTATTATTTTAATATAAAATAAAAATAATAAAAATTTAATTTCTACGTGATTCATATAGTGTGTGAATAATTATTTACACAAGTTACTTTTTGCATTATTTTGAAGGTAAACAATTATTTTCTCAAAAGTTATAAACGTTTTTAGAATATTTTACATTTTTTAGTAATTCCAATTTATATTATTTTTAAAATTTTACTTTTTGTGATGACAGTATAGATACATAGCTTATTTTATATTATACTCTAAAGCAGAATATTTTTTTTTAGAATGAGAATTTCAACACACAAAAATTGAGCTTACAATGAGCGGATAGTTAATTATTTATAAATAAATTAAGATTATTTTAAGGAGTTGTGGCCTTATATAATTCAAATAAAATAAGCTAATACTGTTTGTAAGATAAATATGTGCTATTAATTTAAATTAGATACAAAATAGAGACAAACCGAAAACATACTAACAAGATTCAAACATAATAAAATATAAATAAAATTTGTATACTAAGTATTTACCTTTTTTTTCATAAATAAATCTCGATATTTCTTATCAAACTAACCAACACAAAAAATACCATAGACAGATAAATTTAATGAATATTGAGATTTTAGATTTTAGATTAAGTATTACTGACGACGTAATGTCGTTTGATGGCGGGTTAATCAATTTTATATACGAATAATTAGTAGTGAAACTAAAATATAAGCAATAACTCAAAATTATTTATTTAGATACTACAAATTTTTGAAAAAATTCTAAGTTTACATTCAAAAGAATCACCATTTGTATAGTTTCGAAATTGTAATACAGTGATAACATAAATCATAACTTATCTCAAATATCTAATAAATATTTTAAATTATCTTCTAACTACTTATCATAGTTATTTACTGCAAAACTTGTTATTTTATAATATAAGTTTATTTGTATATATATTATGATTTATATTATATACACAAATAATAAAATTAATAAATAATATAAGTATTATATAACATATTATATTGTATATCTACATAATTGGTTTTTAGTTATACTAACTTAATTTTGTGAATTGACACTCACTTTTTAATCATTATATTATTTTCTCTTACTTTCTATAGTAAATACTATTAAAAAGTAAAGCCATAAAATACATAAAATAATTGAATGAATTTCTGGAAAGTATAAAACTAGTAGTAGAAATCAATAAGGCTTTAATTCCATTGTGCCATTTGATTTCAAGTATATAAGTTGATTCGTTTTAGTAGATACTCGGATACTTATTATTTCATCAAAAAAGTAGTTATTTATCATTTATTTGTTTATCAATATTAATTTTTAAAGTTTTCATTTTTTCTTGGATGACATAAAAGATTTTAAATTGTACACTCTAAAGAAGAATATTTTGCTGACTATTTCGATACATCAATAAATTGAACTAATAAATAATTAATTATAACTAACTTAAGTATTTAGAGTTTTTTTAATAAGTGGTATTGTGGTTTTAGATTAACTCGTAAAATGTTGTTTCACTACTAAGCTCATCTAACTACCACTATAATAAATAATAATTAATAACCTATATATAGGTATTATTACAATTTAAATTCAAAAATATGCCATTGCTAACGAAAAGCAATTCTTAGCAAAAACGGTGTATCAGCCTATATTTCTAAGAATATTTTATGATTATGATATATAATATATAAATAATAAATATGTATATATATTTTTTATATATTCATGTTACTATTCGTAAATCATTTTTAAATTTTATTACACGTTTTATGAAATTATAATAAAATACCCGGTGACGCAAAATGTTTGAATTTGGCCTTGTCCAGTATAACACACAGACACAGTCAAATAAAATTAACATTTATCATCTAAAGATTGAAACAGTTATTACTGTGGTATACCTAAATATAATATTCTTGTATCATAAGCGACTTTTCTGTTTTCACTCCAGTCTAATTATAATAATCGTTATAAACTAGTATTTTTGTCATCAAAACAATACATCAATTTTCAATGAACAAATTTCATGTAGATGTTTAAAATGTATAACTGGAAGTATCATGCCTTTATAATTATTAATGAATATTGACGTGTAAGGGATAATTTAGGATAATCTCACCAAGATAGGTAAGTACAAAATGTATGGTTTAAAAATAAGATCGTAAATAATGTAACTTGTGTAACCTAAGACGTACTAAATTAAAATTTCTGACAATATTCATTTTGTTATTCTATTACAAAAAAAAAATATTTAATCTCATATAAAATATACATAAAATACATAAGTATACATAAAAAAGCTTTGAAAGTTTGAAGTATAATAATAATTTTAATGGTAAAAACAATAACCCATTTAGTGATTAAAAACATGATTATGAACTCCAGATTAAATTTATCTTTATCTTGAAATTAAAGTTGGTCCATTAATTATTAATTACAGTCTAGAAAAATATAATACCTAGTAAAAAATGTACAATAAAGTCTATAACCTAATTATCATGTAGACTACTAATTTTTTTCTTTATAAATATCAAATATTACAATATGTACCTCAGTGCAACACGATTGCGCTCCAATTTATATAATATGTGTCCCTTATGCATATTATAAATACGAGTATATATATATATATTGGAGCACAATCGTGCTGCGTTTTGTGCAGGTAAAAAGGGCTCGATCGTGCTAATTGGTTGGGCGCAATCATGTTGCGTTTTTTGAACGGAAAAAAGTAAGCAGGACGTAATCGTGTAACCGCCATATCATTAATTATTATTTATTATATAATATGCATATGAATACCTATTACCTATAATCTTACACCTACTGATTGATTTTATAGACTAGGTAGATATTATAAGCATACATATTAAAATAAATTATTTGGTTTAGTAAGAATTAATAAATATATCTATATTTAAAATTTGTTCGACTAATAAAATAAATAAATAATAAACAAATCATAAAAACACTAATAGGAATAGTCACCAATAGGTTGCTTTTTCTAACAAGCTATAGTGTACCTATAAAGTATGATATTTTACTTAGCACATATAGGTAACCTACAGACTACAACCTGCAGTATACAGAATATACCGACGTATCTACTGTGAATGTCAGAATTTACACATCGAATGATGTAACATTTTAACTGTGGATAGGTATACGTAAAAAAATATTTTAAAAATCTAAATATTTTGAAAATTTTATTGTATAGTTATCTATATAGTAAATATACCTATTAATTTAATACAGAGTGTTTCACGATGAACTAACAATTGCAATAACTTTTGTTCTATTGAATATTTTCAAATTTTTTTTTAACAATTTTTATGTAAAATTAAAAAATTTTCTATTTGATATTAAAAAAAAACTATTGTCAAAAATAATTTTTAAAGTTTGCTTAAATTCAAATGTATTTCTTGTTTATCAGTGTTACAGCGATTATCGATAATCCAGAAAATCTATTTGAAATAATATAAAATTGTGCAAACTTCAAAAAATCGTAGAAACTAAACGACTGAACATTTTTCATTTTATTTTTTTTTCGAATGTGTTTTAAAAATAATATCAACAAAATGTCGATTTTGATTTTTTTTAAATATCAAATAGAAATTTTTTTAAATTTTAATACCCAAGTACAAAATTAGAAAAATTAATTTAAATGTAGCAAATAATATGACTATTGATAATTTATAAAAAATAAATTGAAAATGTTTAACAGAACAAAAGTTATTGCAATTATCAGTTCACCAAGAAACACCTTTAAATATAGGTATATAGTGTGAAAATTGTCTAGTATCGATGGCCGATGCATTTTATTTTATAGTGAACCTATGTGAATATGTTGTAGCTTCTTATTCGCGATTTATAGTATTTTTACTTATAATTTTTCAAAAATAGTGAATATAAATTGAGAATTGGTAAAAAAAAAAAAATGTTAGTTTGTTTAAAGTTTCATTTTAGTTTCTAGAATTCAGATAGAAAAAAATAATAGTTAAAACGTAAAGTCCATAATAAACTAATAATAAAATAGCAACAAATTAAAATGTTGCATTTAAATGTTTAACATGTTTTCACTATTTTTTTATTTTTATAATCTATGTAGGTGAGTTACTCTTAATAAATTATAAACATTAATAGATGATGATGATTAATAATTATAGCTTGTGTGACTATATTATTTATCATAATTATGCTATGTATGAATATGAATTTATAGGTATAATATACCTTATATACCCTGTAATATACGCCGTTTACGTTGGCTAAGTTCTAAATATGTTTTAATGATTTTTGATGGGTACCTATTACTTATTTCTAAAACTAATTTTATCACACAATAATATGTTTATATCTACATTTGCAATCACTTAACTAATTATCAAAAAAAAAAAAAAAAAAATGAATAATAAATCTACCGACCTATTAATTCCTTTTAATTGTCTAAATATTTAATAATTCATTAGTCCGTCAATATTTTTTTCATAACTCGTAATTATTATGATAAATAAAACATAAACTTATATTCCATAACTTACCTATTTGCAGTCGGCTGTATATGAACATATGATACATAGACCATGAATATATCAGTATTTCTGATTAGCTTCACGAACGCACAGACATTTAAGTTTACGAGGTTTCATCAAACAAATAACAAAATTAATGAAGTATCAATAGCTTTGAACAGTTTTATCGGTATTTGCGAAATACGCACAAATCATGCCAACGAAAAAACCATACAAGCGACGACAAAGCATACGACGCGAACGGGGAAATTCAACTAAACGCGGCAAAAACGAAACTTACGAAACGCATTGATGAATTGCCCCTCGTGCATCAGCGCCGATGACGGCACCTTAGAGTATCACATGATGCAAATACATTACCACGATATAGTGTGTGGTACGACTGTAAACTGATGACAATATCCTATGCAATCGTCTTTCAAAGTCTCGTTTACCACACTGCATTATACTTTCAATCGTCGGCGTGTTTATCTTGTTACGTGATAGTTGATTAACAGCGATAAGTCGATAGTCAATATTCGATAAGGCGGACGGACACGACTGTGAAGAGCGAATGCACTTAAATTATTAATTTAATTCCGTCAAGTCCTTTTAATTCTAACGTTTCGTCATGCAATCGAATTTTTACTGAAATACAACTGATTTGTATTCCATGTATTTTTTAATTTTCATGCAATGTAAAATCTACAAACATATGTATTCGGTTTTCGGAAAAAGCGCTAAAATTTATTTTTTAGTGATGTCTTGACTGAAAAGTTGTTTTGTAATATGGTAATGTTTGTGTTTAATATTTTATCTTAATGTTTAATTCAAGTACTTTGAATAGTACCATTGACATTGTATGGGTATTCTTATAAATGATTTCAGTTTATTTCTTTAAACAAAATATCTATTTTAATTTATGTATAATAATAATAATTTCAGATTTTGTTTAAATTTAAGTGAATCTATTAAAACTAAACATGTTTTCAAAAAATCAAATTTTTAATTAACTCCTACTTTGAAAATAAATAAACATCAACATATATTGTAAAATATTGAAGAAATAGATATTTTCAATCATAATAATATAGTTTTACAAATTGTAACTTTTTTACACATGATCTTTATTTTATTTAACCAATTTTGTGATAAAATTAATTAATATACCAATCAAAGATATTATTTCAATGTATATTAATTTGTCATCATTAAGATTTTATTATCATAGATCAACTTATTAGGTAAATTTTTAAAAAAATTTAATTTAATCTTATAATTAGTTTAATGATTAATTATACAGCTGGTTATACACAATAAGTAAATAATTTGTTAGTAAAAATTATACAATTGAAGTGATTTTTGTAATATAATCAGCTTATTGTATTTTTTTAATTTATAAATATTTTTTGTTGTGCTTTAGGGTGGTAATGTGTCACAACTAGAGAGAGATATTGGATCAGATCAGTTTCCTCCAAATGAGCATTATTTTGGTTTAGTTAATGTAAGAATATCTTTGTTAAATAATTGATAATATATATTTTTTTCCACTTGATTGCTTTTTACGCAATAGCTAGCAACTTAGATAACATTATGCTAAAAGTGACCAAGTGGAAAACAAATATAAAATAAATAAGCAGTTGAATAAATTAAAAATCAAATAAGAAAACATTTTGTTTAATTACTTTAGCATGACAATGACAATATATAATTTAATAATAAAATAAATAACATTAGATATTGATATCCATGTTCTGATTTATTCTTAAAATTATGTCTCATTATGTTTTTGAAATCTTGATATAATTGTTACAGTTTCTAGTTACTTAATTTCCTCATTTATTTCGATCCTATTTTTAAAGTCAATTTAGTAGAATAAAAATAGTTTACTTTTAATTATATTGGTAGTATTAAATATTGATAAAAATGTTTTGTATTTAGATTGCTTTTATGGGTATCTAGTCATTATAGCATTCTTTCTAGTGCAAGCCATAGAGTATATAGTATAAAAAAATACAAAAAAAAATAAATAAAAATATATACTAAACTATTTTCATTTAAATAATTTATATAAATATCATATTATTTTAATTAGCTAATGAATACATTTCATTGGTCTGTTAAAATTATTAATCACATTAAAAACTTAATTTTAACCACATAATATTTCTTATGATATAAATTATTTAAACCCGTAATAATATACCTATGTATTTAAAATTATTAAAAAACATTTACACATTATTGATATACAAATTTATCTATTTTTCAGTTTGGAAATACATGTTACAGTAATTCAGTTCTTCAAGCTCTTTATTTTTGTAAACCTTTTCGAGACAAAGTATTAGAATACAAAGCTCGTAATAAAAGAAATAAAGAAACATTGCTCACTTGTTTAGCTGATCTATTTCATAGTATTGCAACTCAAAAAAAAAAAGTTGGGTCTATAGCCCCAAAAAAGTTCATTAATAGACTTAGAAAAGAGAAAGGTAATACAGGAACAAATATTCTTTTCTACATAATCTAAACTTAATTAATATTAAAATATATTATTATCAATAAGAAATAATTTTTAATTTTAAGTAAATTAATCAATATAAACAAATATTTAATATTTATTTATTTTATTGCATTTAATATTTTAACTTCTTTAAAATGCAAATAATACTCACATTTTTTATTTTTCAAATTATTAATTATAGTAATTTAATTTTTTTACAATAATTGGTATGTCTAAATTTTTGTTTAATTTACAGAAGAATTCAATAACTATATGCAGCAAGATGCTCATGAATTTTTAAACTTCCTTATAAATCATATTAATGAGATCATTCTTTGTAAGTAAAATAAATTATTTTTGCATCAAGAATGTATAAGAATTATAATAATAAATTTTAAATTATGTATTAAGCTGAACGTAATCAAGCTAATTGTAATGGTAAATCTAAATCAATTACACCTAATATTATTGATGGAGAATCAACTACTAGTAGTATTACTAGCTCAAGTAGTCATAATCAAGATCCAACTTGGGTGCATGAAATATTTCAAGGAATACTAACAAGTGAAACTAGATGTTTAAACTGTGAAGAGGTAGGTGTATTACAATTTTGTTAAATTCAACTAAACCTTATATATTTATTCTAGGTCAGCAGTAAAGATGAAGACTTTTTTGACCTCCAAGTAGATATAGATCAAAATACTAGCATTACACATTGTTTACGTTGTTTTAGCAATACAGAAATGCTTTGTAGTGATAATAAATTTAAATGTGACAATTGCTGTAGCTATCAAGAAGCCCAGGTATTAATTCATTTTTTTTTTTTTTTTTATCTAAGACATATAATTTACTGTGGATATTTTAGAAATGTATGCGGGTCAAAAAATTACCTATGATATTGGCATTGCATTTGAAGAGATTCAAATACATGGAACAATTTAATAGGCACATAAAAGTATCTCATAGAGTTGTTTTTCCTTTAGAACTTAGGTTATTTAATACGGTAATTATTTTTTTTATTGGCATATTATATTTTATAATTATCATAATATTATTGACATCAGATTACAATAACAATAATTTTATAGTCTGACGATGCTGTTAATCCAGACAGAATGTACAATCTTGTAGCTGTAGTTATACACTGTGGCAGTGGGCCAAATAGAGGCCATTACATTAGTATAGTTAAAAGTCATGATTTTTGGCTACTATTTGATGATGATATGGTTGATGTAAGATTTAATGATTTTGTTTTATAACTACAATTTTAATTTGCATTTTTTTTTTTTTTTTTGACTAACAGAAAATTGATCAATCTGCAATTGAAGATTTTTATGGTCTCACGTCAGACTTACAGAAATCATCAGAAACCGGTTATATACTTTTTTATCAATCTAGAGATTCTACTGAAATATCAAAATCTGGTATGGCCGATTCAAAATCAAGTAATTGTAAATGAATTTCCAAATTCTATGTTGGATATTTATTTATAATTGCAAAACTCAAAGTGATTTTTCACTTGTGTTTCAAAAAAGTGATATTAACTTAATTGCATTATAAATTAGTCTAATAATAATTTTTAATTGTTGTCAGTGATATAAAATGTTAATTTGCAAAGCCTTGTTAGTCTACTAAATAATATTTGAGGTGATATATTTTAATTTATTTATATATTACTAGTTGATTCCTTTAAACCTAATATAATTTATACTCTTTTCTTATTTTACTAAAAAAAATTTGCTAGAGAAAATCAGATTAGGTATTTATTTTTTTAATGTTTACTTCTATATAAACCTTTTTAAGAATGTATTTGAATATCACATCTAGAACATTTATCTATTCATTCATTAGCAGTTTCCTTCTATTAATATTTATTTTACAAGTTAATATATTTTTAATTTATATAACCTAATTTAAATCTGTTTCATAATTAACAAAATTGAGATTCTAGTTTTCATTTAATCATATATGTGATATATTTTATTACTTGAATAAAATAATGAACAATTAAACTATTTACTAAAATACATACCTATTATAGTATAGTATTTATGAACTTAATACATGGTTATAAACATAGGCGTACGCAGACTTCTGAGTCAGGTATGGCTAAACTTAATCTGACTACCCTCCCCTCACCGGTCACACGAGAAAGAAATATACTTATGAGTAATCAGTATATCTTTAGTTGTATAAATATCTATGAATGATTTATTTTGCTATCAATTTTCTACGTCTATAACGCCTTGTTACTTTCTTAGGTACCAAGTACCCATCAATGTATTAAAAATAAAGGTTCAGGTAGGGTTAAAACCCTATCAGCTTTACCCTTGCGCATGCCTATGGATATAAATCATTTAAATAGTTTTGATTAAACTCTTAAAAATATTTTTATGTGTAAAGTAATTAGTAATAACCAACCACATAATTATCTATGTTGTTATTATCAGAGGCATATTTAGGGGGGAAAGGGGGGTTAGGTCTCTTAAAAGAGATATTGAGCTAAAAATTTAAGAAGCTTTTTTTGTTTGTTGTCCTTTTTTTTAGGTACACCACTGATATGTAAAAATAAGTCAGTAACAAAGATTACAATCTTACTCCTTTCCACTGGTTGGCTATGTGTATAATATTATACAAATAGTAATTTTAAGAGTTTAAACAAAAACTATAATTATGTATAGTATTTAAATTCAAAAACAGTATAACTTGTTTAATTGTAACTAATTTTTAAAATGTAATTTGGACATGCCCTAATATATCAAAATGTGATATAACCAATGAAATGAAATTAATCAGTTTAAATTTTAACTAGTATTATATATTGATTAACTTATGTATTAAAAATATGAATATTAAAATATTCATACTCCAGTTGGTATTTGTTATAACATAATCTATTGTACACTTAAATGAGTAATTTAAATATTACACATTTTTAATTTTAATATTTAACACTTTATTTGTAATATTTCACCAAAAGTTACCATTTTTCATTGATTTAAAACATCTTTTATTATTATTGATATTTTGATTTATTATAGGTATTTATTTATGGCTATTATAAATTATAATTATTTAGAAATGTGTGTAAAAAAAGCAATAAATTGTTGTTAATGTTGTTTTGGAATTTGTTAAATATTATTTTCATAATTTATTCTGAATGTTGAATAATATGATTTAATTTTAAATTGTTACTGGGTTTCTATTTAATAATACATACATGGTTAAATATTTTATTATTCAATACTTACATTTATAACAAAATAATTTTATATATTCAGTGATTTAAACTTAAAAGTATAAAGTATAATAGTAAATCATATTAAGCAAACATTGTACAATATAATAACCATTCTTATTCATAAAAACTATATTTTTACAATCATCAGATTAAAACATTTTTGATACATTAATTAAACATAACGTGGGTACTTAAATATTTTATTTTGATTAATAAAAGCTTACCTTAAAGATGAACAATATTAAAATATGTAAATGACAAAATGAAAACAAGGCAAGCAAGTGTAGACCGTTTTGCTGTGTATTAGGTGTCATGTGGATCATTAGTGTGTTAAATTTAAATTTAATACCATATAGATCTACCACTATGCCATGGGTTACTTAATTTAATCATGTTTTATACCATCTTATAACTGATGGTTGATGCTGATTTAAAAAAATATATTAAGTAGTTAATGTTTACCCAAATTAGGTAGCTAAGAAACTCTCAAAAATAGTTTTTCGATTAGAATAATATAAGAAAACTATTTGTTTTCAATTTTCATTATCCATACTTTTTTACACAAGGTTGAAAATTATTATAAATTGTCATGTTTCAAAAAGCTCGTAGACATAGGTAGTTAACTAATTGTTATCTTTAACTATCTTGTGAGAAACATGCTGAGTGAGATGAGAGTTAAAACGCAAATTCATGTTTAGGGAAGATTTTAAATGGTATATATTGACTCACAATTTGGTTTTTCGAACCGACATTCTATAGTTCATCGAATCCACTTAATCTAATCGCATAATGGATAATATATCCTTCTCTCGAGAAAAAAAAAACAGTATTACATCGACGCTTTTTCTTGGACGTCTTCCACGCCTTTCGATTAAATTTGGCGCGCTGGTCTTGTTTTTAAATTAAAAATCTTCTTACGACCTAACTACCTCAAACTTAAATCATATCTAGAAAATCGGGTTTACTCGGTGCGATACGGCTCTTCCATTACTTTACCAAAACTAATCAATGTAGAGGTTCGGGTTCCTCAAGGTGTAGTTACCACTCCTTTTATGAGCGTCACAAAGAAGGCAAGACTGGGCATTTTCCTCCTAGAATTTTAAATTTTTTATCTAATTGTAATAATTAAATGTAATAATGACGAAAAATAATAATATTTTATAAAGAAAATGTAAGTATAAAATGTACAAAAAATTAAAAGCATAATAATACGTCTTAAATTTAGAAAAAATAGAAAAACTTTGTTTCATCAAATTCATGTAATGAAAATAATTTTATATTTTACAGAATAATATTAATCGAATTTACTAGATAGGACACAATATATACATATTATACTAGGTATATATATATTACATAAATAATAAAATTAATCGTGCTATGAGAATTGAAATTAATAAATATTGGGGATCATAAACTCACAACAAAAAGATTGCCGATCCATGTAATAGATAAAATATTGTTTTATTTTTACCTGAAAATCGAATATTATCACTATAATAACGTAGGTACCTACCTATAATATAGTTTATATTTTATGGGTCTTGATATATTAATGAATTTTCCAAAGAGCTGTAGATTACATGTTTAGGAGCCGCAAGTTCCCGAACCCTGTCTTAGAGCAACTAAGAATTAACTTCATACTGAAAATAATCATTGAAATTTTTTTTTAAACCATGGATTTTTAGTTTTTCTACTATTACCAATGGTCATAAAATAGACTAGTAGGTACCTATTTAATATCTATATTCCACTGAACTAGAATAGTCTATTCTATAAACAATGTTATTATCTACCCACGACGTAATGACTTATAGATATTTTCTCCATCATAACATTATCTTTAATCATGTGTAATGAGTAATGACTATTATGTAGTGAGTAAAACGTGTTCTTAAACTTCTTTCACTTCAATGTAAATTGCATACCTATATATGCAATACACGTAGGTACCTAAAGATTTTGCTTGTTTTATAATAAAATATAATACAAAAATTTCAAAATTAAATTAGTTTTTTATTATAGTAATTTATATTATGTATTATTCATTTATGTAGAGCATCAGAACACAGATTGAATTAATTTATTATTCTGACATAGTGACATGGACTTTAAGCAAAAAAAATTAATTTTTCAGGTCATGAATAAAAATTATGAATTGTGATTTTCATTTTTCATGACATAAAACATAAATTTAAAGAATAATATTGCATAATAGTATAATACCAAAGCCAGTTAAAAATTATTGCAACGATGTTAATATTAGCATAATAATCCGTATCCTTTAATAGGCCTAATATGTGAGTTGGCAACACTGTAATTTTATCCATTAACTTCATAACCTCAATCTTAGTACTGTTGACGGCCCTCTCTTTCGTGTTTCATTTTCTTCACTTAGTGTTTCGGAAGAATTTAAACTACGTTTGTTTAATTAATCTAATTTACTTTTAAGTTTTCCATCAGGTACCCGAACACCATTAAAAATGACTGCTGACAAGAAAGTTAAAGTAAAGAAACCCAAGGTGATATAATATGTAGATTTTGATAGTCGTCGTAAATCTTAAAGTTAAATTATGAAATTTACACACGTGTATTAGTAAAGCTTTTTAATATTGCTGTTGGGCTTACTATTGTACGATTAATTTAATATTTAAAAATCTCTATAAAATTGGTTTTAATCAAATACCTTTTTTTATTTTTGCAGGTGAAGAAAACACCAGTACAAAGCGTACAAGTATTCGGCCGTAAGATACGTGTTATTCATAATTTGTGTTGTATTAAATGTTGCATTTAATTTGATCTAAGTAATATCCTTAAATGACTATTATTAATTTTTATTTTTTATCATATTTAAATGAAGGTAAAATTTCATTTTAACCCATAAATACAGCTTTCAACAAACTTATTATTGATAAGAATTTGTTTAAATCTTCATGCCTTTAAATTAGACACATTGTTTATCATCTATTTCACTAAGTGCCAGGTTTATATGCAGAGTTTATTTTCCCTATTTTACTTTTTTTTTTCTTTAGAACGTCCTGAGTTTTCTTAAATGTAAATACTGTGTATAAACTTATTGATTTCTAAAAAAATGGTTTTATGTTGGTAATTTAGTTTTACATACTATGTTGGTATCTAAAAACTATACGTTTGTTTAAAAAATAATATTTTCTAAATCGCTTAGCTTTATAGAAAATTAATTTCTTTACATTACTGAAATGTAGGCTTGTTCAGTATTAGTCATAAGAATGTGTGACATATAACTTAATAAATTTTCAGTCTTTTGACTTTCATGCATTCGTATATTTTTTCTGGTTAAGTTTTTCGTATGCAGAGCAATACATTTCACAACGTTTGTGACCAAAATCTCAAAGTTTTTATTGCATATGTTGACATTTTTGGGTGTAAAGGACATATTTTTTAATTATAAGAGCATATTTTTAGTTTGTAGTGCATATTTTAAAGGTTTTTCAAAAATTATGTTTTTAGTGAATATTTTTCATGATTAAGGACATAAATTATTATATTTAACTGTTTCCATATTCTCATTAAAATGAAAGATACTCATTTTTATCATAGTTGTAGATTAGATTACAATAAAGTGATATAAAATTAATTTATAAAACTTATAGAGAGATAATATAAAATTATCGAAATAAAATATTTAAAGAAAAAATATAAGTTTTAGTGTATTAATTTTTTTGAAGGCATATTTAACTGCTTATTTGATGATTTTTTATTGCATGAAAGTCCTTGCTCTATTTATGTCTAATTTTTTTGGTAGGAAAAGAGGAAACCATTAAAATGTCTTGGGTATTAGTTTTGAATAAATGCAACCCTGTTTATCTGAACATTATTTATTAAAATATTCATAGAAATAGTTTTATTTAGATGTAATTGTCAAAATATTAGTTTTTCATTTTTGAATATTGTATAATAAACTTGTTTTTAATATCTATTTTGAGCTTATAAACTCAAAATTAAATTAATGTACTTGATATTTGGTCATACTTTTATTCTTTTCTATTTTCATGCTTTAAATCGTAATTTAAAATTAAAATTCATACTAATATTGGTCTTTTTGATTTTCATAAGTTTATAGTTAGCAGTAAAAATTGTAATCTATTGCCACAATTTGATTAGTTGACTTAATTGTACTTTTAAATTCATCTTGCTTACTTAACAAAATATTCCACTATTTCACTCAAAAGTATTTATTATTTTTTTTTAATTTCAAGTATTCAGTTTCTAAATGTTTTAATCAAATACATTTTTAATTTTTATTTATAGAAAACTGCTACAGCTGTAGCTTACTGTAAAAGTGGTAGCGGTAACATTAGAGTGAATGGCCGTCCATTAGATATGGTCGAACCCAGAGTTCTTCAATACAAAATTCAAGAACCCATCTTGTTATTGGGAAAAGTAAGTATATCAAATAAGATTCAGTTCTAATGTATTTTTCCTGTCGAATTGAATAAATTTAAAATTATATTTTTAGGATCGTTTTAATGAAGTTGATATGAGAGTTCGTGTTAACGGTGGTGGACATGTCGCTCAAATTTATGCTATCAGACAAGCTATTTCCAAGGCTTTAGTTTCATATTATCAAAAATGTAAGTAAACAATTATAAATATTAAATATTTAACATTTTTAAAATATATTCTGATTTTTTTTAATAGATGTTGATGAAGCCAGCAAGAAAGAGATTAAAGATATTTTAATTCAGTATGATAGAACTTTATTGGTTGCTGATCCAAGACGTTGTGAACCTAAGAAGTTTGGAGGTCCAGGAGCTCGTGCCAGATACCAAAAATCATACCGTTAATCTTTTTTTTTATATTTATGTATATTGACTTTAACAATATATATAAACTGAAAAAAATATTGTTTTATTTTTATCATCATTCAACTAGTATTTTAGTCCTTTTATTAAATACCTCCAATTACTATTCATTAAACAATTTTCAAGTATGCATTTAAACCCCAATAAAATATATAATTTGTAACATTTATCTCATGGTAAAGAATAAATACAGGAGCTATTGATTAAATTATAGCTCTTGTATTTGTATGTTAACATTTTGTTAGTATATTTTAATGTTAATTTAATGCAATGACTATTTAACCTAATAAGGAAAGATTATTTCTATTTGAGAGATAAATGTATGGACCCATATTCAACAATACAGAGAACAAATGGAAAAAATAAAAAATGGTTCTATCTTTACCAGTTGAACAAAAGAGATATGGCCTAATTCGTTAAAAGTACAAGGATAGATGTAAATCTGACTAATGGTAGTATATTGAGCGAAGTAATGCCATCTTTGGAGATGAAAAAGATCAGACAAATTGGTCAAGAAATTATTAGAAGAAATTGGAGTGCTCAGAAAATAGACTGATGAAAAATGTTGAAAAAAAGTAAACAAATGGCTTGTAAAGCATATAAGAACAAAAATATTATCTATCATTTTGATAATGATAAAATAAAACTCAGTGATTGTGAGTTATTGTTCCCCAGAAAAATGAGTTCTTTTTTCATTCCTTAATAGTAACTAAGAATAATACACTCATAAACTTTTATCTTATCCCTCCCTTTCAAAATCATTTATTATTTCTTAAAATGAATAGCAATAACTTGGGGCTAGTGTTAGATTATAAATTTATAACCATATGAGTATATGACCCATCTACCTGATAAGTATATACTTAACTAAGATAGCAGTCAGATTATCTGATTTCTGACAAATTTGTTTTAAATATATTCACAATTTGTAAATTTTAATATATTCGTAGTCATATACGTTGGATGGAATCAAGTTATTTTGTATTATTCAATTGAACTCTGATTTACTCAGGCTGCTACCTAACCACAAAGACTCCCTTTTTTCTCATCAAATCTACAAGAAAAAGAACAGTTACCTTCATACAGTATGTGAAGAACGCCTTAATAGACAATTTCTATCAATCCATTGATATGACACATTAGGTCTTAGTGTTTGATAACTAGAGCTAGTAGGTATAGGGGTTAGGAAGCGACTAATTTTTATACACTGAATTACTGATTTTCTAGATCATAAGACTAAACTAGATTACAAGTACACAGTGTGATGATTTGACAATTGATTGTGTCAAAATAAATAGGTCTATTTTGTTAAAAATTGTAATAATTGAATCATTGTAATTAACATAAAATACGCTGCATTAAATTTAACAATTAATACACTAATCAGGTTAGAAAATAAAATAGATTTTTTTGAACATTGATATAACTGTATTGGTTTTTTAGGTCCAATATCTTTTGGTAAGAAAGTCATTCCAGTTCATTCAGGTGGTTAAAATTAAAATTCACACACTTTAAAATATAATAAGAAAAACAAAACAAAAAAAAAAGCTTATATTATGGGAAAATGGATATTTTTACACACAACTAGTTTTATAAAAAAAATAATATCCTTATTTTGTAGTGATTCAAATAGAAATACCTAAAGATATTTGAAATTATCACCAAATGTTATTGATTTTATTAATATTCTCAACGTATAGTATAATATTTACAACTTACTAAAAAATTAGTTTTGTCGGCATCATTAATTTTCAAATTAACAAATAGTTATTAATCAAGAATTTAATATTGGACATAAAAAAATAATTATAATAAATAACAATTCAGTTGTTATAAATTATAACACTCAGATAAATACATCTAATGAAATTAATGTAAACTTCTTTAGTTTTTATTTATTGTAGACACACATAAAGAAATATAGTCATAAATAATAGTGTAAGAGAAGAAAATTTTCAGACATTAAGGCTTAAAAATACTTATAATTTAACATCAGTAACACAACTTTAATATAATAATAATAATAAATGATTATATATGCTAATCATTGTCAAACATTTTAATGAATTGCTAGAGCAATATATTTTTACATAGTCAATTAAAAATTAGAATAATTATATAAATGGTGTTATATACCATAAAAATTCAAAAAATTATAATATAAAATATCACAGATATTATCAGTTATTTAGTCTTCTCAACATATTTGAAGTCATCAGGTTATTTGAATTGCTAATGAAGATTGTGAAGTTGTATAATTGTATCATATACATCTTTATTTAACAAGCAGCTGTTTACCAAACACTTCAATGTCTTAATGTCATCTATGGCACACAGTTTATCCCATACAATATTATGACCTAAAATTGATTTAAATAAACTAATTTTTTTGGATAAAATTGCAGATAATTCAAATTTTGGTTTCCATTGCATTAAACTCAAACAGCTGGTAAGATAATCTACAGATCCTAACACCAAAATTATTGACATCAGCAACTCTTCAAAGTATTGAGAACCTATAAATTTGAAGGTTTTAAAATATTATCTATTTAACTAAATTTTGGCAATTTTCAATGATATAATAGTAAATAGTATTGTACTTACGAGGTTGGCTGTTATTCAGATATTCAATAAATTTTTTTTGTAATATTTTGTAACTATTATAGACAGTGTTATAAATATGTTCTTTTCCATTTTTTTTAACACCATTTATTGGATCTTTACATTTCTTTAGATAAGTGGCTACAGTAACATTACATGTTATCTTAAATGGCTTCATTGTCATGTCTAAAATTCAAATACTGTATAAATTACCTGGTATAATTAATTATGTATCACTACTTACTTATACATTCCATTATTTTTATGGCATACATTTCATCTTGTTGAGTATTCAGATAATTATCAATTATAGGAAATAGACAGTTGACCATGAATTCTACTAAATCTTTAGGATCACAACATTTTAAAAACATGACTACGGAAACGGAAAAATCTATAAAATATGTAATTCTCAATTTATTATTCATAGCATACATATTTAAGTATTATTTGTTTATAAATTTACCAGGTTTGTGTTTATGTTGAATTAAATTTGTTGGCAAATCTGTGGTAAATGTGTAGTTGAAATGACAAGAAAGCAAGTTGATTAATTCTCTTTGGAAAATATCACAACCGACAGTTTCCTCCGAATAAAATTTCTTTTTTGCAATTATGTAGGATAAAGCAGTTATAATAACTGGGTCTAAAAACAAAATACATTATAATTAAACAATTTAAAATTTTATTTAAATAAAATTAAATATATGTATGTATTTTGAAAAATTTAAGACAAAAAATTGTTTAATTTTTTCTTAAGTTATAATAGGGCTATACATCAAATTGCGATGTTTATTAATTTTGTTAAAATTTAGCAAATTGATTTTTTTTATGCGTGTAATATTATTTATTTCTCAGCTAAGTTTTAAGACTGCAAGTAATTTCTTAAAGTCTTAATTAATCAAATTTAACATTTAAAAGAGATATTTTTTTTCTGCATAACATTAAGATTAAAGAAAAACTAATGAAATTGAAAAAAAATTCAAGTATTAACATGTACAAGCTAAACAACTGTTTTTTACAAAGACAAAGGATAGTTCAAAACAGTAATAAAGATGTGGTTAATCATTTATTTAAATAATTTGTTAATAAAACACTTTGGTTTTACATAAGCAACTGTCCAAAATCTAGAATTTTTATGGTCATATAAGTGTTTTATGTAAGACAACATATTATCATCATATTTTTGATATACAGCAATAAAAAAAATGGTAACTAATGATGATTTACTTATTCAAGAAACCCTATAAATCTCTTTATAAATTAAAGTATTGTTTATTTAATGTTACACAAAAAATACAATGTAGCAATTAATTAAGATTAAGATAATGATGTACCTATATGATGTGTTGATTCAGTCTTTCTAAATCATAATTTAGCAATTTTATGTTTTAAAAAAAAAATAATTCATTTCCTTGTTATCATTAATATTAGAACTATCAAAACATTTATAAGTAAGAATACTAATTTAAGACACTTAATAAATTCTTTTTTTTATACTTTTATTCTAAAACAAGTTATGAGAATTTTAAAATCAATTATTAATATAAATAATTTTAAGTTTTGATATTTTTTTAATTACAATTTTGAACTATTTAATTACCTTCTTCATTATTTGTACTTCTTGGTAAGCAATTTTTCCATAACAACAAAGATATAAATATAACACAACAATATTTGTTAGGCAAAAAAACCATTGAATCAAAAATAAATATTTGAAGAGTTTTCAGCATTCTTAACCTAACACAAATGTCAATAAAGTATACTGTTTGTTTTATTAATTGATCATCCTGAAAAGTGAAAATGAATACATTATATAAATATATAAATAACTTATACAATCAACAAGATTATAATAATTATTTTATTGTAACAATAAAATACTGTTAAAAATTGGTATGTTTCCATAATTTCAACTACCACAGTAAAAAAATAATAATAAAAAAGATGTTCATTTGTGAAAGAAATGTCTCATTAGTTTTGTAAAATTTTTTTCCATACATTCACAGTATTAGCATAAAATATTTTTCCATAATTATTCTATATTCTAAATGAAGTAAATTGATTTTTTAATATAATCTTTTTTATCTGTATACAATTTTATATTTTATATAAAAATGTTTTGATTCTTAATTTTGAGGTTAGTTTTTTGATATAATTCAAACACTATAACTATGGAACTTTAAATTTTAACCAAATGTTTATATTAAAATTTTCTAAACATGATAACATTTATAAAATATACTGACTCTTTATAAGATATATTTGGACATCTAAATTTTTTCAAATGTTTTATAAGGTTCATCACAAGTTTTTTATTATAGTCATTGAAAAATACAAAATATGTTAGCATTTATTTAGAAACCATTTGAAGTTTAAATTTTGTAAAAATTTATAATTTTAGTTATTTTGTTAAAATTTTAAAATATTTCTGGTGGGGGTTTGAAACTTTTTCATACATTATTATATACATAATTTATTCCATATTACTAATTGTAAAATAAAGTACTATAATTAATAGTAATTTATTTTTATGATAATATGAAAATGGGCTGATAGGTCTCTATCCAGAATTAATTTTTGTATGCAATGATTTATCATGAAATTCAAATTCAACATATTATCTATTATAATGATTTACTTGTTTTAAGACATTTTTCGTATATTTAGGTACCTACCTAGTTATTTAAACATAAACTTGCCAATGAGCTAGATTATTTTCAAAGTATATAAAAAAGTATAAATTCTGAATTCAAGGCACTAGAAAATGTTCTGTACCCGATCCTTTAATGCCTATTTTTTTTTTACTAATGATCATGCAATTTTAAGCCTTACAATTTTATTTTGACTTAAACCCTTTAGATCAGTAGAAAAACTCTAGTTATTGCTGCATCAGGTGGTAATCGAAATAATGAAAAATTACCCACTAATAATACAAATAAGTATGGAGTAAATAAACTGTTTTACGTACAATTTTATGATCAATATTCATTTGCCTCTTAAACACATTTTTTCGAATAACATTTAAAATAACTTCAATTAATGTATCACTTCTCAACATTTTTACCAATGCTAGAGTGATTGAGGTTAGTTTCATTATTTGTGGACAAAATATATTTAAATTTGTAGATGCCAATATTTTATTTTTCTCTTCATTTTTTAATTTATCATAATTTTCTCTATAGACAGACAATCCATTTATTATTGGTGGACCAATTAATTGTTCAAAAAGAAAAACACCAATTGAACTAAAATTTAAAAAAATATACATTGATATGATACATATTATATAATATTGAATAAAATATATTGTTTAAAATTACCTTGCAATTTCTTCTTCACCAAAAAATCTTAAATTTCTGAATTCTTTGGATTCTAAAATATCATTAAGTGGTTTATTTGATAATATGAATTCTCTCAAGTGAATCCTGATTTTCATATTACTTTTAACATCTATAAAAATTAAATAAATCATTATTAATTATTAATTATTTTCTAGTAATAAAATATTACATAATTATTAAAATAGAACTTTACTTAAAAATTTAATATTAAACACATTATGTAAATATTTTTCTACATATTATATAATAATAGTCTTAAAATTCTAAAATAGATGTACTCTCAATAATATGAATGATTACATGATTAATGTTGCAAATATTTAATTGAAAAGTATTAAAACCAGCAGTGATGTCATATATCTACCAGTAATCTCAAAATTGAAAAACCGTTAATTATATATAAATATTTTTATTTGATTGATAAATATGTACAATATATTAAAACTGATCTATTTACACTTTTATAACCTAATTAATGTCATTAAATAAAATTAAATGTGAATTACCTATAAAAAGAACTGAAAATATATAGAGAATTTTATTTAGTTACAATTTTGATATACTACCATACCATGAATATTAATGTTAGATGAGTTATTTATTCACAGTTTTAAATATTTAATAAAGAACTCAAATCTAGGCTGTTTTTATCGGAGTATTATTTTTCACAAAGAGACATGTTTAAATTATTTAAAAAGTGAAAAAAGGCATCAATTGTGATGAAAATTTAAAAGAAACTACCAGAATAAACAAAAACAAATTATCTCAGATGAACATTTAAAAGAACAGTTACACACATAAACACGTTAATCGCCATATGATCACAGGCGGTCATCTGAAATTCTCAAATTTTATACATTTGTGACTGCTGGCGCCCATTGTTCATCATTACTACCACGCCACATGACTGCCGGCGACCATAAATGAATTAAGTTTTATATTATTAACTTTTCTATGGTGGAGCTACAATAATGCCCCAAAATAAGGACTGTGGCATAGCAGGAATTATTAAAATTTTTTTGATATAAGTACTTATAATACATTATTTTTTTCAAATATTTAGTGTATAAAAATTTGTAAAACTTTGAAAAATATGTTTGGCGTATACCAAACACCTACTCAATGATCGCTAGCGGTCATATAGTGGTTAACATGTTAAGATGCATAAAAAAAGAGGTCTCAGATTTTATAATTAATACATATAGGTAATCAATATAAATTATACTAATGATTATTAAAATAAAATTAACAATATATCATAAGATATTTGAACAGACTGGGTAATTAATTTATAAAGAATAATACTGTAACTCAATATTATTTTTAGGTAAATCTCAACTTTCCATTTTAATTTAATTTTAATTAATTATAGAATGTATTTTATTTTTAAAATTACTTTTAGGTATCTGTAAAGAATTACTTTTTTGTGTTTTAATGGCAGGAATAGAGTGTTTTTTTTGTTGGTTATAGTTATTAATTTCTGATTTTGATATTGTTTCTTCTTTGGTTGAATTTGATTGCTTTAATTCTGGATTTATGTTTTTTACACCTAAAAAAAATTGATAATTATTATTTAAGTTTTTTAAGTGCCTAAAATACTTACCATTTAATTTTTGCACAAAAACAGAATTCTCAATAATAGTTGGGTTATTAAGTTTATTAGTTTCTTGGTTTCCATCATTTAATTCTGTTTTCCAACATATAGGAACATTGGTTGGAATTGATTGGTTAAAATTAGAATTTTTATTTTTTTCAACTAAAGAAAAAAATGTATAACAATTTGTATTTAAATATAGGAATATAAATCATATTTGTTATAATACAGCTCAAATATTATAATATATAAATGTTCCCTTAACAAGTATATAGGATTATTTAAAATATATATGTATGAGGTGTGACAATAAAATAACAACTTTTTTAATAAAAATGATTTATTTTTAAAATCTTATAATTTAATGATTGTCACCTTCAAAGTACCTTCCCTCAGCATCAACACACTGTTGCATACGTTGCTGCCATTCTTGAAAACAATGTTGTCAATCGCTTTCAGTCAGCCCTTTTAGAAGTTCTGCCATTTTCATTTTTACGTCATCAACTGTTTGAAAATGGGTTCCTTTTAATAAACTTTTAATTTTTGAGAATAAGAAGAAGTCACAAGGAGCAAGGCCTGGCGAGTACGGGGGACGTTGGAGTATAGAAATATTTTTTTCAGTTAAAAAACATTGAATTGAAAATGCACTGTGAGCTGAAGCATTGTCTTGGTGAAGAACCCAGCCATTCTTCCATAGATCTGGTTGCTTTTTTCTAACACGTTCTCTTAATATAATCAATACCTCTTTATAATAATATTGGTTGACAGTTTGCCCACTAGGAACCCATTCAATAAAAATTATTCCCTCAATATCAAAGAAAACAATGACCATTGTTTTGAATTTCGACTAGTTCATTCGTGCTTTCTTCATTCTTGGGGAAGTTGGTGTCTTCCAATGCATGGATTGCCTTATAGTTTCAGGATCATATGTAAATATCCATGTTTCGTCACACGTAATAATATTATTTATAAAAGATGGATCATCTTTGATGATTTTTAATGTGTCAGAACAAATGTCTTTGCGACTAAATTTTTGATCAATTGTCAAATTTTTAGATACCATTTTAGCACACACTTATTCATATTTAAATTTTCAACTAAAATTTTACGAACACTTTCTCTATCAATAATTACAATCTCTGCTACAGCTCTAACACTTCATCGACAATCTTGCTGAATAATTTTGTCGATTTTTTCAACATTTTCGTTTGTTGAAGATGTGGTAGGACGTTTAGAACAATCATCGTCTTCGACGTCCTCTCTTCTACTGCAAAACCGTTTGTGCCATAAAAAAATGTGAGCTCTTGACAAACATTCTTCACCATAATAACTTCACATAACATACAAAATGATTCCGTGGCAGTTTTTTTTAATTTAACAAGAAATTTAATGTTAACACGTTGTTCAATTCATATATCTAACATTTTCGGCAATATAGTCGAACTTGCACTAATAACAAGGATACTAATGTATAACAAAATCAACAGATTTCATCAGTGTCTATAGTACTTTTAGATAAGTGTTTCCTAATCATATTTCAATAATTGTTTTATAGATATCGTTAATAGTTTAGGTTATATTTAGAAAGTCTCGTTATTTTATTGTCACATCTCGTATAGTTAATTAAATAACAAAAAAATGATATTTTTTACTTTTTGGTACCTTTATGGCATATACATGCAAGAAACAAATTTTAATTTTATTAAATTGTAATAAAACTTACAAAAAATGGCTATTATTTAGATAGATAAGCAATTTTTAAAATTAAAAATTATATAATTAAAATATTATTTACCATTTTCATTTATAACGTCACTGACTAATTTCTCAGATTGTATGTTTTGATATTCATCACTATGAAAAAGTAAATCATTTTTTAATTGATCACCATCATCTAAAAAATGTAATTTGAAATTAATTTTATTATAAAAAGAAAAAGATTATAATCATCACATATTTTTTTTGATAATCAATAATAAATTCTAAGGCTAGTTAGCTAATGAACTTTTAATGTATTTTAAATATTTTTTATTAGTAATTTAAAAGTTTTGAGGTTATTTTAGATATTTAAAAATAATTTAGAAAAGAATATAACCGAAGACAATGTCACATAATAAAAACACTTTGATTGACATGATTTTGAATTTTGAAAATTAATTAACCTTCTCACAATTTTTGATAATTTTTTAACAGTAAAAAATACAATACAAAAAAAAAAATGAGTAGAAAGAAAGACTAGTTCTTATGTAAAACTAATTGTTTTAGATGTTTGGTTAAAGAATAGCTCAAAAACTATAGACAAAAAAGGTTGTTGTTAAAAACAAAAAAATACTTACTATAAAAATCTATCATATGTTGACAATTGGATATAAATAATTCATCAACGTACATTTCTTTCAATATATCTTTGATATTCTTTGGTAAAGATTCATTTTTATTAATAATGTTTTTATTTAATGATTTAATTTTATAAAATTCATTGCACATTTCAATAGACATGCAATTATCTAAAGAATTATTTTCTTCTTTTAATAAACAAGCATTTTCACAATTATTATTAGATAGATTACATTTTTCTTCCGGTAAAATAATGTTTAACACTGAAATATAAAAATAAAATAAGATAATATTATGTTGTATGTAAATAAAAAATATGTATTAGTTTTATATTAATATTTATCATTTAAGTAGTAGTGAAATTTAAAAAATAATTTAATAAGTTACAATTAAAATTTTTTTTAAGTTCATAATGTATTACGAATGTGAACAAACTGAAATAATACAATTAACTAGTTTTTTAAAAAAAATTATCTTATATTTACTGACATAATTACATTTAAATACAAAAGCATACTTTTTTCATTTTTGAAGCTATTTATTTCAGAAAATTGTTTCTTTATTGGATTCATTAATTTGTTTTCACAAAGTTCCATTTCCGCTGTAAAATCTATAATGGTTAAAATATTTACAAATCAGTAGTTATTACAATGTTAAAAGATTAATGATACTAAATATACGATAAACAATTAATTACTCATACTCTCAGTTGAAGATTTATCAGTTGAACAGTTTATTGTTTTTTCATTGTTTGAGCTATTAGCTAATTTAAGGATAGAAGTCGAAATTTGATTAACGTTGTCATCAACGTCTTCTAAAAATATACAATTATATATTTAATATATTAAAACTAAACAAAAATACAAGCATAAACATTTGATCATTTAAAAATAGTGTAAAATTATACATAGAATAAGTTGGCAAGTGATAGCTTGAAAAGTAAAAAAAAAAATTAATTAATTTTAAGTAATATACAATAATCATTTCTAAGATATTTTTTAAGTTAATGATTTAAGGCAGAAATTCCAATAGTAATTTATTAAATACTAGCCGATTCATCATGGCTTAGTCCGTGATAGGTTGTTTATTTTGCCTTTGGACGATGATATATAAATATATAGAATTTTTTATTCAAATTTTATAGTTTAATAATGTGATTGGCAAGTAAATATAAAATGGTTAATTAAAAGATATTGAAATGTTTCTAGCGGTATTAAGAATTTGGTATACAATTTTGAAAACAAATTGTAATAATTTGTAATATTGTCGTCAGAAAATTGGAACATTTAAATACAATACAACCCCTCCAGGCAAATTAAAAATTAAAAATCGAGTGATGTGGTGACATTCAGGAGAGTATTTGGAACAACTCTGTGAAATGTTTGAGTTAATTAAATCTTACTATAAAACAGTGTGAATGTATGGTATGAATAGATAATATTTTTAAATTAATTCGGATATTTTTAAAATTTTATTCTGTATAATTATAACAACTCTTATAACATAAGTGTGTTAATGGTAATCATGGTTATAAAACAATAATTTTAATAATAATATTGGATATGTGTAAAAATTCCCATTTTTCTTATTTTATTTTATTTTTTTATTACTTAACAAAAGTGATACTAAAACTTTCAACAGACTATCAGGTATAGCAGTAAAAAATTTCAGCCAAATCGGTTCAGTAATTTTCTCGGTTAGCATATAGTGCTAGTTGAATTACCTGGCTTTGCCCATGTGTAGTTTGTGCTTTCTCAAAATTTTACTTAATTTTATATTTTTATCAAGTGCTAAATAGTAACAATAGTTGAATTATAAATAAAACAAAAATATAATAATCATTAGTAGGAGTATTTGGTATAACTCAGTGTAAAAAAATTGGGAAAATATTAAATAATGTCGTCATAAAACGGGAAGATAAAAAAAAGGTTGTTCTTTTATATATATAAGGATAGTATAGATCAGTGGTCGGCAATAGGCGGCCCGCGGGCCAAATCCGGCCCGTGAAAGAAAAATAATTGGATCACAAAAAATATTTTTTTTTAATAATGCTGTTTTCCACATATAATAATACATATTTTATCTATTTTATGATGTATTTAGGGATTACGATTGTGTTTATCGTTTATTGCTATTTATAAATTTATAATAATAGTTGCGATAACATAAACATTGAATAATTATAATATTAGTTAATACTAATATCTGAGTTTTTAGTTTTTACTGGCCCTCGAAATTTTTTTTTTTTTTTTTGATTTTCTGGATCTCCATAGCATTTAATTGCCGACCCCTGGTATAGATAATTAAATTACTACATATCATATTTTATTACTTAAATTGTTATAGTTTTATCTAAGAGCATAGATTAAATGGATATTATTTGCTATTAATGCATGCCATTATTTTTGTTACATTAAAGCAAAGGACTAATTTAAAAATATTAAATATTTAATTATTTTTAAAAATTGCAGGAAAGGCAAATTTTATACTTTACTATTACAATTAATGCTTGATTTAATATTCAGTTAAAAATTAATTTTTAATTAATTCTTTGGCATTAATTGATATTATTATTATATATTAACCTAACCTTTATTTGATTAATTAATACAAAATACAGATATTTTTTTAAATATGTAATCACTTAATTTAAACACAATAGCAGGAAATAAGTTTCATTTAACTACTTACCAATCAGTAATCTATCATCATCATCATCATCATCATCATCATTGAGACTGTTATTATTTAATGAGAAAGCAATATCATCAGTAGATAGGTCAAATAAATTATTAATGAGCACATCATTTTTAGGTATATCTTGTAACATTGGACCTAAAAAAAATAAATAAATATAATAAAATAATTATTTAACTGTTATGGAACAAATGTATATAAAATTACTTATTAAACTCAGACAGTTAAATGAAATTAAATATAAATGATTAAAGAGAATTGATAAGTATACATATTGTTCAAAGTTGTACACTTCTTATACTGAAAACAGTTATATATTTTTTCTAGGTTTTCAACAGTATAGTACATATATTTAAAATAAACCATTTAGTAAAAAAAATAATTAAAATTATACATCACTTACAAATTTGATCTACTTTAAAACCAATGGTATCACTTAAATCAAAAAGGTTTTTGTATTGAGGTGGTTCAAATATTGTTTGTTTATTTGTTTCTTTTTCATTTACAATTAATGCAGGAACTAAAATAAATAATATATATATTTATTTGTTATATATTTCTTACATTTAAGTATATTAAAAATTAAATTATGTATTTAAATGCATTTATAAATAATTGTGTGTGTTTTAAAATTGAATACATGATAAATGATTAAATATTTATTTATTCAATTAATATCTTACTTATTTAAAATAATAAATAATAAACAAATAAGAAATGTATATAGTTTAAGTTATAATATATATATAACTGTTATATATATACAAGTAGACAAATAATAGAATAGAGCAAATTATTTTAATAATTTATAAAACACAAACATTTCATTTTTTTGTCAATATTAAAAAAAAAAAAAAAAAAAAAAGCTCGATTTGCTTAAAAACTGTAGGGGGTTTTTGGTAGAAAATAGAATCTAGTTGATATTCAAAAGTGAAAGGAATGAAGAATAATATTTTCAGCAAATTGTAATTAATTTAAAAAACCAATAATTAACAGTGAAAGAATCATAATATTTATGTAACATTAATTTAAAAAAAAAATATTTTTGTTATTTTGGAGAAATTTAAAAATAAAAAATATAGACTTGAAATTTTGCTAAAAATATTTAGATAAGCAATTTGTTAATATTAAATTATTTTTAAAAATTTTTTTAAGTCAAATTTATTTGTATAATTAGTAATAAAAACCTGGTTTATTTTCATCTTTTGAAATATTAGTTATTTTTGTTTGAGATAATTCATGGTTGATATTTGTATTGGCTGATGATAAAACATTTTCTGATTGAATATTATTACTTTTTACTTCAGCCATTATAAACTCTGAAAAATAAAATAAAATTGAATAAAATCCATTAAGTATTTAAAATTATGAATTACCTTTTTTAGAATCATTGTTTTCATTTATTTTATCAGTGTTATCACTTAAATGACAGATGTCAAATGGGTTTATTTCAAGGCCAGGAAAATTTTCAGTTTTTAAATCATATTTTATATCTAATTAAAAAAAAAAAAATCTTTAAAAATATTATATACATATAAAAAATAAAAATATATGATAATTTTATTAATTAAACATACCAGCAGTATTATAGTTAAAATTATCTTCAACTTCAATTTTATTTTTAGAATCAATTTTAGCATCTACTATATGAGAATTACAAAGACTGTCTAAATCAAAATAATTTTTTTTGTTATTTGTTGCATAATCTGAAAAATGAATAATAGTTAAATTTATAATTTATTTGCATATCATTTTGTATTTTATTAGTTAAATTGGATGATTTACCTACAAAAAATAGTTTCAGATTATTAAAATTATTTTTATATATTAAAAACATTATAATAAAAAATTATTTCTAATTAACATACCACTAACATGTTACAATACACAATCATTTTTGAACAAAAAAATCACATAAAAGTAATAAATGAAAAAGGGGGAAAGTATGTAATTGTATTTTGCTGTTAGTTCAAAGATGAATAGTAAGTCACTGATAATGGATATGTTACGTTAAACTTTAATGATAATTCATTCTGTACAAAAACAACTCTGAGTGAAGAAAGTTTGTCAACCTATATTATAGTGTACTATATCAAACAATATATTTATTAACTGTTATATTTATTTTACTATTAGCAATATAGGAAGTTAAATTAATGTTTATCAAATTTATATATTTATTGTATTATTGATATTTAATTATTATGGAAGTATAAATAATAAATATATATAATTTATTATTGTTATTAACTTATCTTGGAACAATATGACAAGTTTAAAGTATAAAAGGGCAATTGCATAAAATAAATCTAAATTTTTGTAACTCTTATGATGACATTGTGTAAATAAAAAATAATTTAATACATAAAAGTTTTTGTATTTTTTGTACTTTATACATTCATATTTTAAAAACTTAAAAACAAACGCAGTTACAATGTTAATACTTAAGTTATCGATGAATATATTATTATTCTAAATGAGACTTACTTATTTTGTTTTTATTAAAATTGACATAATTTTCATTAAAAGATTCATGATTAAATGACATATTATTTTTTGAATTATTTAGCAAAGAGACATTATCAGCTAAAAAATAAAAAAAGTTATGTACAATGATTATTTTATACATACATAAATTTTACAGAACTATTTTGAAAAGAAATAATAATTTATTTATATAATTTTTATTAAAGTTGACATTAACTCACTTATTTTGTTTTTATTATGATGGATATAATTTTGTTCACAAGGTTTATGATTAACTGGTTTACTATTTGTTGTACTATTTGACATAGAAATATTATCAACTAAAAAATAAAATAATATGCAATCATCATCTTTTTTTTTAATGTAAACACAATAAAAATGTGTATTTTGAAAGGAATAACTTACTGATTTTGTTTTTATCTAAGTTTATACTGTTTTCAAAATCAATTGGTTTATTATTTGTTGTACTATTTGATATATTAGCATCATCATCTAAAAATTAATTATATACAATAATTTTTTGGTGTAAAAATAAATTAAATATCATTTGTTTACAAAGAGATAACTTACTTATTTTGTTTTTATTAAAATAAACATAATTTTCGTCACAAGGTATTAAGTTGACTAATTTTGTTGTTGTAGTAGTATTTAACGTAGAAGCATCATCAACTAAAAAAATAAAAACAATTAAACACAATATTTTTTTTATTTATATACAAATGTGTACATAGCTAATTTTAAAGGAATAACTTACTTATTTTATTTTTATTTAAGTTGACCTGATTGTCATCATAATCTTTAGAATTGATTGATTTATTTTTTGTAGTATTATTTGATGTAGTATCATTAACTGAAAAGTATTGTTATATACAATTTCTTATGTAAAAATATAAACAATGCTATTTAGAAAGAAATAACTTACCAATTTTGTTTTTATTTAAGTTATCATCATTTTCAAAATTAATTGGTTTATTTTTTGTAGTACTATTTGATATATTTGCATCATCAACTAAAAATTAAATATTAACATAATTATGCACAATAATTTATTTGAAATATTGATTACAGTTTTGTTTTTCATTTAAAATAAACATAACTTTTATCATATGGTTTAAAATTGTCTAGATTATTTATTGTTATATTATTTTATATTATAAAAACATTAACAGCTATTAAAATAAGTATAATTTTTAGAGTAATTTAAATTAAATACTAAATAACATGAAATATAGCTATTTTGTTATAAAAATACAGGAAAACATATTTGAAATCTATGAACCAATGAAATTATTCAAAATAAATTTCAATCTAAGAATAAATCTATATCATGAAAATTAAATAAAAATATTTGTCATACTGTTATATTTTCTTATTAATTATTTATAATTTATATCCAACTAGCTAACCAGGTTGTGACTGTTATAATACGTTAAATTAAAATTAATAAATATAAATATATAATATTATTTAAGTGTCTATAAATATTATACCTACATAATTCTGTGGATTACATTAGGTATTTTATTCTACGCAGTCATACATTTCATTACAATCAGTTATAAACAAAAAAAATTTAAATGATAGATGAGCGCCCATCTCATAAAAACACTCCCTTCAAAATAAAAAATGCCCACAAGGGAGCGATAGTGCCCACATTGGGAATCATTGGGTTAACCTATCTTTTACCAACACAAATAAATTCAATGATTTCCCTACATTTGAGCATGCAACATCATATAACGCAAACCTGTTATATGCTTAATTTATATATTATACAAAGGTAAATTATCTTTAATTAAGATATGAACTATCCTATATTTTAAGTTAGACTAAATCATACAAATGAGCAAAATAAAAATAAAAATTGGTTGCGTAATGTTAGAGTGCATTGCACACAAACCTGTTGTACATTTAATTTATATATATAAATATATATGATGAACTTTTAATTTAAGAAATGTGATATTAAATATGATATTCTAAAAATAATTACTTACTTATTTTATTTTTATTAGAGTTGATATCATTTTCATCACATGGGTTAAGAAAAATCGGATATTTTGTTTTTGTATTATTTGAAGTAGAAGCATTATCAACTAAAAATAAATACAGTTAAATACAGATTATTTTGTGTTAAAAATATATACTTTATTCAGGAAAAGAATGATCTTGGTAAGTGACCAATTTTGGTTGAAGAATGTCAGGCAAAAACTGTTTGTTATTCACAATTAGCTAACCATTAAAATGTTCTGTAGTGGATCAATGATCACTTTTTTGCACAAGTCAGTTATCTTACATTTTTTTTTTAAACATTCCTGAATACAGTATACTTAGCTGTTTTTAAAATAATAACTTACTTATATTTTTCTTATTATAATTGTCAGATTTTTCATAAAAAGGTTTATTTTTCATTATATTATTCGATGTTGAAGCACTATTGTCTAAAATATAAATAAGTTATGTATAAAAGAACAATTAATATATTAATAATTTTTAATAACTGTTTGCCTTACTTTTTAATATATGTATATTATCTATTGGTTTAACTTTAGAAGACTGAATATTAAATTTGACATTTTTGTTATTTTTTGCTAGCAATTTATTATCTGAAGACAATAATACTATAGTAAATGATTAACAATATTAAAATATAACTATTAAGATTATTACCATTAGTATAATCACAATATTCAGTAAGGTATTCAACACCCACATAAACATCTTTAAGCATATTTAAAATATTAGGTTTGATGTGATCTTTTATTTTTAAATTAATACATTTTTCATTTTTTTTATTAATTGAAATTGAATCAAAAATTGCTGTATATTCTTTTGATTGAATAATATTTTTATGCTCTTTGGTAATAAGTGTCCTTAAAATATTGGCTTCTAAATGTTTTTGATGCAATATTTTTTGACGTATTTTTTTAGCATTATTATTAAATGCAAAATGTTTAATTTTTGAAGTTAATATCTTATTATCATTATAGTTGAAACTAGAAAAATTTTTACAATAGCATTTTGAATCAAGATCTGGAACAAAAAAATTAAACAACCTAAAAAGAAATTTATTGAGACCATCGTAATAGTTATACAAATTTGTGTAGTATCTGTTCATTATCAATTTAAAAATAGAATAATGTTATACATATTATTATAGGTCTTACTTTTAATTATTTTTGAACAACCATCTTTTTTAGGATTTAAATTGTCATCTTTGAGTAAACAACTATGATTTATTTTACTATTAAAAGAGTTAGAATTTATTTTTACTTTGTCTTTAATTACTGAATGAAAATACTGATCATTGATTGAATTAGATTCAATCTGATTTAGAGGAATATGGCAAGGGATATTTTCTTCTTTCAACACATTATTTTCAGACATTGGGTGATTTTCTATAGATTGATCTAAAAATAAATTGTATTTTTAGTTTTGTAAATGATAATTTTTTTTTTTAAACAAATTTTGTATTTATTTAAATGCATAAAATAATTACTAACCTGAATTACTATTATCTAACTCGAAAGTCTGAGAACTATTTAGTTCAGTTATTTTTTCTGAAATACTAGTTGGAGAGTTAGAATCCAAATAATTAATTAAGTTATCATTTAAATTAGTATAACTATCAACTAGTATGTTCTCTTCAGGTTCATCAAAAATACTCATTAAGCTATTTTCAACAATATCTAAATGAGAAATATTAATTAAGACATATAATATACTTTCTACAACAAAAAAAAAAAGAGGCTGTGCCCGCTTCAGTTGTCTATTTTATTCATTAATAATAAAACAAAACTATGTACTAGATTTTTACTACAGTATAGTGAGCTATGGTTATACGTACACACATTTATATAAATATATATAATATAGTGGGTATAAATGTATACAACAATAAAAAGATATCTACATAATATGACATCCGGCAGGTGTATCCTGTTAAAATACGAATTATATGTGGGAGGTTGACCAACCAAAAATCATGTATGCCTAATCATAAATATAGTAAAGTAAAGCACTACAGCAGCCTAGAGAAGCTGGTTTTTAGATTGGCAGGATTTTTTCAGATATGGCATCACCAAGCTCGAAGCAACAACTCACAAGCTAACACCACATATTACTCTTGTTATTTTATTTTGAAACTTAGTCATATACTTAGTACATATACAACAATATTCACTGAACCTGTAGCACATAGTATTTTGCAATAACAGAAATTATAAAATTTATTATGTAAAATATAAATTATGAAACTAACCAGTCATCGGTATTGGTGTTAACATTTCGCTAACATTAAGCTTATATTAGGAACAACTTGCTTCAATAAAAATAGATGGTTTTGAAACTTTATATATCTTTTATCCAAATAATATTATACTAAAATAACCAAAAAGCAAGTACAAAAATATCAATTTGTGGTTATTATGATTCGTTGAATTTCGAAATACCACGATTATGTTAGTGTACTGCTAGCACAATAAATGTCATTATTGTTTTCATATAACTTTTATACACAACAATTTGAAAAAAATTGTGAACAAATGTTCACATGGTTAAGTGAAGCTGAGGATGATTACACATTAAGTGATTCTGATGATACTGATGCAGATTTGTATTTTTGTATCCAAAAGTGATGAATATATATATTTTTTTCCTATCAAAAATTATTTATTAATAATTTTTTGCATGGAAAACTTGAAGAATGAAAACTGTTATTAGTAATCATATATTTATAGGATATAACTAGATAAATATTTTAACCTTTGTTTTACTATTTTAAGTTGGTTCACAACATTTCACAACATCAAAAAAATGATTATGTCAGTGTATCACTAACAAGATACCTATTATAATATAAAACATACCGATACCAGTGACAGGTTAAGAAAAACTTTTTTCTTCATATTTTTTATTTTATAACAAATTATTATAATATATGGATGAGTAACACATTTTTTTCAAATTCGTATATTATAATTTATAACTAATTTTAAATTAAATATGGAAAATATGTCTTTACACAAATATTTTATATTTTCCTCTATAAATTCAAAATTAATCTAATAAAATAAAAAATTAACTGTAATAAAAATAGAGTACTAAGATTTGTTTTGTTACACGTAGAAAAAAAAGTCAACACAAGCAGGTACATTATTTTAAGATATAGTATAAGTAACAAAACATAGTTAAATTTTTAATTAAACATAATTAGTTTTCATGATTAAAAACCAAAACTTACTAGTGGTTTTAAATGGTGATGGTGTATAATTGTCTGATTTATTAATATTATCCATATCTTGTTTTGGTAAAAAATCAGAACAAATTGATGAATTATAGTTTATATTACATATATTGTCAATATTAGTATCAAAAGTGCACACATTATTTTTGTTTACTGAAAAATAAAATATTGTACCATATACTTATAATTTATGGTTATGAAATAAATTAAATAATATTATACAAAAGTAAAATACTTACATTCATAATCTGTGGAGAGTACTTTAGATACCACTTCATTTTCTTTATGTGACTCTACATAAGAAACATTAGATTTATAAATATTTATATTTATAATAACATTTTTATTTTATATTTTTAAGGCAAGGTAATTATTGCTAAAATTAGTGTTATAATCAGAACTAGGTTTGATCTATGTTATTTGTTGATATTTTTTTTTTAATTTACTTTTATTACAAGTAGAAATGAAAACAAATTTAAAATAATTTATGTATATTATACATTTCATTATTTTATGTTTATTGGAAAAATTTACAGTCTATACTTTAATCACAATGAGTAAATACAATAATGTACAATATACTAACGAATAACATAGAGAAAAACCAGATGATGAAGGAATCCATTTCAATAAATGGAAATCAAAAATCAATATAAGACCTTTCAGAATAGAATTTATTTATTTCATTATACTACTAGTTAATTTAAGAGATAATAGTACCAAATTTCTAATTATAAAGATAGTGAGACAATATTATTTATTTTCATTTAGGGTTAAAATATTAGTATAAGTCTATGTATTTGGTACACTTCTAAAACCAAATTGTGTAAGAAATATTAGATTTATTCAATTTATTCATTTATTTATACAATAATTTACAATATTAAAAAGTATAAGTACAGGCTGAAATAAAAACAAGCTAACAGCTGTTAATAAATATCTAACATGGCAATACAAACAATTTATGAGAACATATAGTTTACTTTACTATTGTATTTTGAGATTTGACAGGACATCAAAACTTAATATATTCTGATTGTAAAATAGAATTTAATTAATTAATTAAAAACCAAAAAACCATAATAATTTACTACCTTGAGATTCTGTTTTTATTGTTTGATCTTCATTATTTAATTGCCTTATAAATGATTCAGTAACAACAATAATTTCATCATCCTCGGTGATTGTATGCACATATTCATTTGCTGATTGACCTATACAGGTAAAAATAATATGTTTGGTTATTAATTATTTTAAATTTTAAGCAAAAGTAATGAATTAGTTTTAAAAAAAATATTAATATTTAAAAATTTTTGAGGCTTGCTGCTTAAGAAAATGATAAGTCTGTTGACTTACATGAATTTATGTTATTATATTTAACTAGATTAATAACCTAGGTTTAATCAATAGCTTTTATTTCATCGTAATAAATTAATAATATTATTGTAAAACTACATTTATAATTAAATTTTAATAGAATATTGAACATAAAAATACCTGTGTCTTTCAATGATTTATTGGTTGTACTGTCATTATGAGAAATGCTTTTACACACTTTAGAATCATAAACCATTTTATCTAATCTTGACGATTCTCGATTACTTTCCTCAAATGCATTCAAAGCTAAAACATAAAAAGTACGAAATAACGAAAATATATTTCAAAATTATTCTCTATTCAATATGTATTGAAGTTTGTATGTCCATCACCCCTAGAAATGTTTATTATGTAAAGAAGTTATAAATAAAAACTTAGTATTAAAAATACTTTTCGAATAACTCAAATAGAATTGTAAAAACTTACATTTAATATTAGACTTATTGTTAAAACAATATGATTTTTTGTTAAAATAAGTTCTCATTTCCGTATCTAAAACATAATAATTATTAAATAAAAAAATGAAAACATTTAAAACTCATTTTATATTACTTTTGTTAAATGTAGAACATAAATTATCAGAATTAGAAATATAAGGGGATATTTCTTCAACTTCATCTGAAATATAATAAAAATAAATAAATAAATTAATTAACATAAAAATAAATAAAATAATTAGTTATTTACTTTTTATAACATCATTTAACTGAAAATCATCAATTCCTGTATCAGAATCTGATTCAAATAATGAAGGAGTATTTTTCTTGTACTCGGTATTTAGTTGTTTTCCAGGATATAAACAAGAAATATCATTACTAAAAACTATAATACAAAAAATAAATATATTAATTAAATATAATTATTTATATGCATGCTAATAAAAAATGAATAATTTTCAATATTTTCATTTTTAATTAAAATATGATAAAAATTACTAGACTTCACTAATATAATCTTTGTGAAAGTCCAGGTTATTTACGATACATGAAAAAATGTTTAATATAATGAAATAAATCTATACATACAAAAGTATTTGACATTAATTAATTAAACATAATGTATAAAAAATAATAAGAAAATACATGAATTTATATTTTAACATCATTATAACTGTACAATAGCTAACTCAAATGAAATTAAAAATCATTTAATAGACTGTTATTAGATAAAACTAATAAGAAATTGTTTACTGTATCTGGTAGGAATTCACTATTCACTCATATTTCAAATAACAGATAACAATGAATTTTTAAAGTATAAGATAAATTATAATATGACGCCCAAAACTTTTATCTTCGATAGGCTATTTTATTAACCTTTGAGAATAATCATAACTATTAGTAAAAACTTATACTAGACCTGTTTTTCTTATCCTTAATTAACTATTAATTTAACAAATTAGATATATTTTGATAAAAATCAACAAGTTATTTAGTTTAATAATGCTTTTAATATTGCATGTAGCAAGTTGATATTAGATTGTAAGATTTTCATATTTTTATATTTGAATAAATCAAATTCTTGCATTCGGATAAAAAAATCTAATATTAAGCTTCACATAAGATCATATCTTTTAAAATAAATCGAAAATACATTATCATAAAAAAATTGTATTTATAAGCATTAGTTTTAAAATATAAGAGAATTTTATAACTGTTGATGTTATCCATTTTTTACTCTAATGGAAGTCATAACAAAATTCATTCAGCAATTCCAATTTTACGTGTTCTACTTAAATGTTAAGGTGAAACATTAGCATAATAGGGGGATAGTATGAGTGATATATTACCCTCAGAATTTTTTTTTTTTACATACTATGTTGACTTAGAAATACTAAAAATATTACTAGGTATAAATAAAAAAATATAATGTACTAATTAAAATAAATTATCAAACTTAAAAGTAAGATTTTGGTATATTCTTTTATAGTTATTTTTTAACAATACCTTAATTTTTAATTGAATTTATGAAAGTATTTTACTAATTCATAACTTACTACCAGGTACCATCATTATATCTAATATAATTCAAATGTTGAATGACCTCAAATGTTTATTTGTTAAATATTTTAAAGGTAAATGTTAATCGATTTTATTTTTTAAGTAATTTCACACCAATTTTATACACTTATCAATGATAGAATGTAAATGAAAAATTAAATACATTTATACATACCATAACCAAGTTGGAGTTTCTTTTTAGAGATTTGTCTTGAAGGTTTTCTATTTCTACAAGCTAAAAATACTATGATTAATACTTCTTCGTAATAATGTAGTAAATATTTTAGTTAGTTATAACCAGGGCTTGTGAGTTTATGCATTTGCATATTAATCTTGCTAAGTCGCACATAATGCTAGGGGACATAGAAATCCATTTTAAGGCACCATGGTTGAGTATGTGAAGTTTTATTTTACATATTCAGAGTATTTTTACCAAAATTTGAAGAAAATGCAATAATTTATATTGTTGTACTATACAAAATACATGCGACATTTTTGCAACATAAAATTATTAAAAATAATTCATATAGATGGCATAAAGCGAGTATGAATATATAAGTAGCCCACATTAAGCAATTAGTGAGAAACATATTATATGAAATGATCGTATCCTCTTGATACTAGACTGGCTGGATATCTATTTAAAGATCTTAATAATGAATATTTTTGCAATTACATTTAAACAAATAAAATATAACTTACAAATATGAACGAAAATTTTTTTATTTCAAAAATTACTTGCAATTTTTTCTTTTATTAATCTGCATATTTCTGAATTTTTAAAACATATTTTACTAGTTTTTATTGTATAAAAGCATACTTATTTAGGCATTTCTAGGGTATAAATTCATGAGCCCTGGTTTAAACAGAGCTAAATAATAATACAATGGTTGCTGCTTATTGTGATCAAATTCTTATGGGAGTATTCAGATTACCAAGACCAGAAATCATTATAATGGGTGACTCAAAATTCAGATAGAAAATAGCGTAAAAATATTTATTTTTTTTGTCTTTTGTCATTAATATGCTGTAACTTAAGGGAAGTATTCATAACGTTAGCTTACTTAAACCTCAACAAAAAAGCTTCATCAGTTGCCTTAATTCTGCTTCCATTTTTACGTTTTCTATCTTCTGATTTGGTGCTCTCATTTATTTCATTATGAGATTTCAGTAACTTATTTAATGTTTATTGGAATGGTCAATTTTTGTACTGCTAACCTTTGGTTCTTATTCTAGGGAAGCTTAAATTCGGCTAGGATACATTTTTTTTCTCTAATTGAAAAGCACACTTCTTTTACTAACTATAATTACAATACACTGAACAGACAAAAACAAACTACGATTAACATATCGGTGTTTATGAAAACATAATGGTTTCAAACATAAACATGTATCATCACCCATTGCATGAGTTAGATTAAATTAGATTAGGTTTGTAAACTAATAATTATTGTTCATAATCGTATTTTCTGTATAATTTCAATTTTTAAAACGACTATTTCGAATCACTATAACTGATAAACTGAACATAATAAGCGGAAAAAAAAAATGCGCTGGTAATGGCTGTTTATTACGTTCATGTAATTTTTAATCACTATAAGAGGCTAATTCTTTTAACCAGTAAACACTATAAATAACAACCACTGTAATAATAATATATATATACATCAATATTTTAATACCTTTCTTTCGTTTACTACCAATATTGTCAGTTCTGGAACCTTTATGTTCTTTGGCAGTTGTTTCTATTAATTCATTGCTATCTATATAAATAAAACAAATATTAGTGAAAAGTTATATTGTTAATATGAATAGTAATAAGAATTGTATTAGGTTGATATATATTTTTATTACAATTAATTAACTTACTAGTTAGTTGTTTATTTAATTTGTTTCTTGTCATATAACCATTGGTTGATGATAGGACTGCACTATTTATATCTACTTGAGAATGTTTAATAGGTTTTTTTTTTTTATCTAAAATATTAGCAAATACTTAATTATTAATCATTAGAAAACGTAAATTATTTATAAGAAAGATATATACAAAAACACAGACAATTAAGATTGTTATATTTATACTAATTTAAGTAATATTATTTAATAATTCAAAGACAAATATGCAATAAAATATTTAATCAATATCTAAAAATTTACATTTTAATGTGAAGTAATAATGTAATATTTAGTTTATTATCTATACTTAGATAAATTTTAAAGCATAAATTATTGATGCGACTTGAAGGTATTAAAATATATTATTCAATTAGAAAATAGACAGTGTTTATTTTTTAAATTGTTATCAATAATATATTAAATGTACCTATAAATGCATAACATAAATAAATGTTTACTTAGTTAATAATAATATATTACTTACAATAAATGTCATCAGTTACATAATTATTTGATGTTAAAAATGTCCTTTTTCCATTTTTATTTTGAATGTATGATGTTGACTCACAACTTGTTGACAATTTACCTTTACATGGTAAAATAATAAAAAAAGTAAAATAAATAAGCAACATTTAATGAAAAAATTTATTTTATTATACATTTCACAATATTGGTTTTAAATACAAAACTTGTATAGTAATGTTTTCACGTTAAAGGTAAGTACACTTACTATTACTTGGGCTCATGATTGAAGTTTAAATTTCACACCAGCACTAAATGAAAATAAAATTTTTGTAATGAAAAGTCCAATTTAGTTTCATGCGGTTATTACAATCACAGCTGAGAAATATAACACCGACAAGAAAGTCAGAAGAAAAGCATGCGTTTAAATACCGAAATCCACATGTTCGTCCAAAATAAAGATAAACGTAAGAAAACGTTTAACCAATTATCTTAATTTGCAAGTATTAACAGGTCAAAACCATTAAAGGCGAAGATGTAATGGCCAAAATTTGTTAAGCGTTTTTATGGAGAATATTATAATAACTAACAAAGATGAAAAATTACAAATTTGAATGTTAATTTAGGCAAATAATGATGTAATTCATAACTATACTGTAACACAAGCCTAACAAATAACAATCAAAGACCTGAAAGACCGGACTTATTTCGTTAGTTCTCATTCTATTCTACTGCTGCTATCACAGTATCAAACATTTACACCGGTGGTGGCGGTAATCAGTGATTAAAATTTAAAAGAAAACGAGACAACAAAAATAAACGACAATCGAGTCACGAGGCCCAAATAAAAGAGAGATAAGATGAGGCTATAATAGAGTGAGCGCGAAAGAGATGAACAAGCGGTACAATGTAAAAGTGTCGGAAAGGGTTTGCCAACTTAATCGACAGGTACGAAATATCAAATTCTGATTATCTTGATAAATTTTAAACGATTGGGTTGTTTGGAATAATTTTGACTAAAACGAACCATAGGTTTTAATCACAAAGCATAATTTATGGTCTTAGCAATAATTTTTGGTCATAATGATTTTTGGCACCAAATCGCTGATTCCGGTTTTGCGCCAGAGACAACTTGCAGACTTGAAATCTTGAAGGTCTGTCGTGGATCATGGTCATAGACGACAGACAAATACAATTAATGTCCATGTATGTGTGAACCTTAGATCACATTATACTGCAATACTGCATGAACTAAGGTGTGGAAATATTACGTCAATATCAAACATGAACATAATAATAATAAATAATAATATGAAAAAAATATTAAAATAAATAATAACCACAGCCACCTCGGGAAATTTAAAACTATTGTACGGGACATGCACTGTAGCGCCCCGTTCTACGTTCTTTTGTCACCGCAATTCGCGTCTGAGATTTATGTTTTGCGTAGCATTTAAGCACTGTAGTACTATAGAACTATAGAAGGCGCTAGTCAGTTTCGTTTTCGATCCGGACCAGTGTTGACGTGCTATGGTCCTATTTTTCCGATACGACCATCATCACTACTACCACCACGATTCATACGTGGAACTCGATTGATGACCGCAGCAGCAACCCTTTTTTGAGTCGCAATCCCGCGCGGCTTGTCATCCGGTGGTAGATCGACTCAGTGTGCCTCCAAAACGCTTTCACAGTGTGCTAGTGTGATATTTTAGAGGTCTCGATCTCATCCGTCACACTTAGGAGAACATTACGATATCCCCCGAGGGAGTCTTCAGGAGGAGCTGGTCGTCTGTCGTCTGCGAGGACGAAACCGTGTGACGGCTTGCGCGGGGTGCTTTGTACGGATGGTGGCTGAAAACGACGAAATGTCGTGCAATATGGTTGTGTGAAAAGTGGCGTGAACGACAATCGCAGACTGCCGGATTCGGTCGTTTAGAGACGTGGGGGTAGAAAATAATGAAAATTTGTTCTGGCCCGGCATATATCAAACACCGTCCCAGGTAAGCTACCCGATGTTTGTTCTATCTAGATGTGCAAAGTATTGTTTTGATATACTTACCATTATTATTGTTTTCACCCTTCCCCCGCCGTCGGCCCATTTACCTCCCGCTACCTCCCGTTCGTCTATGACACGCGGTGACGATGGCGTGTTGTACACTGCCCACCACCGCTGCTTCCTCGTCGTATAGTGGTAGGCGACAATGTAATGATACTAAATACCAATAGTAGGAGTAATAGTAGTAGCAGCAACGGTTGTAGTAAGTACTAAATAACTAGTATTACAACTATAGCGAATGTTGTCGGTGGCTAGTGTATACGTTGTCGGTCGTCGCTACGGAATAAATGTGTTTACCGAAGAGTGAAAAAATAACAGAACGAGGTCAATATGGAAAGGCCATCGTCGACGTGTTACCTGACCGTTGTGTTTTATTTTGGTTTTATCTCATTATTTCTGTCTGGTATGTTTGCTCTAATATTTTCAGTTTTTCCTTGCTACCACATATCCTTTTGTTTGTCCACGTTGTGACGTGAACAGACGTGAGGTGAGTTGATGACGCGTGTCATAATCCGAGCAAGTGTTGAACCACTTGGCACCTGCCACCGTCCTTCCACTCGGCAACAATATATAATTAAAAACCTCGTTGATTGTTATTTTCTATGTATACTGTACACTATTGACGTCAATAATAATGCTTATCTTTAATTTTTTTTATCAGATGATTACAATCTGTGGCGTAATTTGGTCGTGTTTGTTTTAGTGGGATTAGGTGATGAAATTATTTAAAATTTTACTTATTATCCCTTACAATTTGTTTTGTATGTATCATGAGCCTCACATATACATCTCAAATCAATAATTGTGATAAGCATAATATAAATAGGTACATATAAAATGTATGCACACATGGAAATAAATATTTAAATATTAACATACAATTGATATAATTATACATTCAACTACATTTCTGATGAGTGTCGTTGCTTTGTTGTTCAATATTTTTGTACAATGATACAGTTTAATATATTTGTGTAATGTGTAATATTATCTTACTTTTGTATGGCTAACTTGGAATATAAGTATTTTTGTATAATTTTTATTAAAACATTATAATGTTGAATTGAATTAATATGTAAATATGGTGTACACTGTACTTGCTAGTCTTTTAGAAAAAGTAGTCCACATCACCCTTCATAATTATGGCACTGAATAAAATACAAGAACACACAATTTGGTGCATACCTACATTTTCCCGATTTATGTACATATCAGTTAATACATTTTAAGTATATTCCATTATTTAACAGTATGACAATTGATGTTGGTAGATATTCAATTACTTATACATAATATTTATTTTTATTTTTGGTTGATACAAGATATTTATATTCAAAAGTTAAAATAGTTTGTTCTTATTTGTTTTATTTGAAATAATCATGTAGATAGTATATGTAATGGCTTTAAAATGATTTTAAATCCATTACTAATTTTTGTTAATAGTTTGAATTGTTTTGTTTATCAGTAACAATAAAAGTATCTATAAACACATTCTGTCTTCTTCTGTTTCTTATCTTCATAAACGCAAGAAGAAAATTTATTTAATTTAATTTCCCATTTTTTTTTTTTCTTTGTTTTGTACAATAATAATTTTGTAATTTTATTGAATTTTGATGTTTTCATAAGATTCTGTGAAATATCGGTGTAAGAACTACTGATATAAAACATTGCCACTTAAGTACCATGAGGTGGTTAAGTGGTTAAGTAAATTCAATATCATATATATATATATTATATTTCTGACTTATCTGATCAGTTAGATTGTCTTTATTATTACCTATTTACTTTAAGTGCTGTTTATAGTCTAGTCATCACTCAGTAACCATTATTGATCTGAATATCTATTGTTCGATAATTAAAATATACATAAAGCTCGAGCTATCTTCAATGCTTTTATTTGATGATTACAAAACACTATATTTAAGTTTTTTTTATAAATTAATTAAATTAAAAAACCTGAATATTTTCATTTTAAGAAATTGTTATATGCTGGTATTAGTATAAATATAAAAGTTTTCCTGATTAATTTCAAGATAGTTAACCAGATTCAGTAGGTACATTGAAATACAATTTTTTAGTATTTATTATCTTTCTTATATTTTAATGATTACCTATCTATAGATACTTTTTGGTTGCATTTATTTCAATTAGTACCTATGTCTTACAATAATTAGCTTTTACATACAATATTTTCATCATTACTTTATTAAATTTGTTACTTTAATACACATACTTATATACTATTTACTTTCAATAGACTTATTCTATCAGTATGTTAGTATGACATTTGAGAAATCACTGATCAGACATTTAAATTATTTTTTTAACAACTGTCTGTAGCCCTCCTCTTAATTTTATGAAAATTTAAAAATAAATTTAATGTTAACATATTATGTAAGATGAAAGTTACTATGTATTAAAATTGTAATTTTATGGGAAGATTGCAGTAAATCTAAAATATTATATTTCTTGCAGAGATTTAGTATACTAAGCATATGAGGGATTCTAGTTAAGCTTTCAAATAATTTTGGTTTCACTGCTGAAAAATTTAGTTTCCAAATTAACCAGTATTCGATTTTGGAGTATTTCTCATCTTGTCTTGAAGAATAATAACTGAAAAATGTTCTTTTATTCTATATATATAAGTTATACTGGAGTCTTTATATTTATGAAAAATATATTTAATTATTAAAATCCTCCTATGATATCTTTGTAATAAGTAATGACAAGGAAATACAAACATAATTAAATTGTGAGGGATAATAATATATTAGGTGGGGACCATCATTGCCACTATGATGTAGTTTTCATGTTGTGCAGCAATTGTGCCATGTTTCTGTAAGCATATATTCATTATCTTCACAACTAAGTAGGTACTGAAATTAGTATTTAAAAATGTATTAATCTCATTAGTTAAAATATAACTTTATGATTTCTTTTCTGATGACTTTTTTGATACTTTTTGTGTATAGAGAACTAAGAAAAATTATATTAAATATAAGTTTTAGAAAATGATTGATTAGTAATATGTCTTAAGTAGTATCTGAATAATAACTTAGCTCTAATTGTCATAATTTTTTGAGTTTGTCACAAAAAATATTTAGTAAATAATTTCTAATTTCTGCACTTACCTATATAAACTTTATTATATTTATATAAAATAATTTCTTTTTTCCTTTTTTTCTACACAATGAGGTGTCTACATGTGTGTAAAAGTTATAAATTAAATTATGATGAAGTAGATATTAAGTTGTAATTAGTAAGGAAGTTTTCAGTTTTAATAGAAGTAGGTATCAAGTTACTTATTTTTCTATACCTAAGTATTCATTTAATATAGTAGGGTAGATAGGTCCTACTTATATATATGCCAACCCATGTTAGGTAATAGTTTATGTATTATATAATAAATTATGATATTTACCTTTATTGTAATAAAAATGACATGTAATGTTTAAACTGTTAAAATTAAATGTTTGCCATGAAAATAAAAATAATAACTAATAATAAGATATTAGATAAAATTCATGGAACCTATCATGTTTTATAAATAAAAAAAAAAAATGTTTGTCTAAACCCTAGTTAAATGTTTTTTTTTTTTTTTCATTTCCCATTTAATAAAATATGTAAATATTAGTTTTAATTATCATTTAATAGTTTCTTTTATTTTGTAATGGAACAAATTACAAGAATAACTCGTGTCTATATTTGGTATACAGTTTTACTCTTAGATTATTTATATATTCAACTTATTGAATGGCATTTGTATTATTAGACATCTAAAAAAAGGGGGTTTATTACAGCCCACTAACTTAGTATGTGTTATTTCTTACAATTTTGAATTTTAGTATAAATATTCATATCATTATAAAAAATAAAATTGTAAATATTGGGATAATTCTAAATTATAAATAGTACTTACATATATTAATAATTAAATCTATTTAATTTTTTTTATAGAGTGACATGTACAGCAGTCAATCGCAAGGTTTGTGTTCAGAACGGTTGGTGGCTGATGAAAGTGTCGCACTTGTCACGCATCACAAAAAACGCAAGCTGGACCAACTACATAACGCCGCTTGCGGCCCTGAAAACTACCATCATAATAAATACAAATTGAGTTCACTTCACCATCATTACGAACCAATTGTCGAGTTGGTGCCATATGAACCAAT